CAGACTCCATTAGGCACTAGGTTTTCTTTAGCAGGTCAGTGTGCCCAGCCCTTTTCAGGGGCCTGCCCTCAAACGCTAGTGTTTTTGCTCTTGTGCATTACAAATATATTTCTCTGACGTTTATTTTCCAGCTGTTCTGTTGAATTCACTGCACTTGCACTTCACCTCACCATCCCCCACAGCAGCCCACAATGTATTAGGACATCTCCTTCTGCTAAGGTTCATTTTTACAATGTTTGCATTATCTCCTTGCCCCCTCCCGCCCCAACCACTGCTTCCATGTGCACAAACTGAAAAGCACAAGTGTATCGAGTGACAGGCAGCTTTTCAAGGCCAATTATCAGCTGTGCCAAGGCACTGCACAATGGGGAGGTGGGGCATGAAGACATGTTTTCCTGTCAGAAAGAATGGAGTCTGCTCAGCAAACAAAAATGTTGCGAGCAAGAAAATTGAGCTGTTTAGCAGACAAATGGCTGGCTTTGCTGCACAACACACATCACGGGTCTCTCACACAGAAAAGGAAGAAGGAGAAGAGGTCGAAGTCTTACCAGTGAGGCAAACACATACTTCTGGTCCTTCTCCTGAAGGAACACGAGCATGTCAGAGAGGAGAACAGCCTGGACTTCTGCAAAAGAAGCAGCATAACAGTAAGTATAACCGCACAACCCACCCCAAAACAGATTTCTTGTAATAACACCAGTGCTGAGGAGCAGCAGGGCTGGTTTTGCAAATACTGGAAGCAGGATCAACCTCCCAGTTAGCAGGAGGAGCAGGGGCAGCTCCTGGAGATGCCAAGTCAGGTTAGCTCTGAACTGACTTTGCATTAAGCAGAACAAATTAGTGCCTGGAAAACCTGCAGGATTTGCTCTCGTCTGTCTGAGCAGGGGTGCTCCCCTCCTGCCACATGCTCACTAGCAGTTAAGACGTGGGCATAACAGCGAAAGCCAGAGACGTTTACTCAATAGAACCTCTGTTTTCTCAAACAATCAATATTTTAGCCCTTGAGCAAAATATCTGTGCAGGAAGTTTTGGGTTTTATGGTTCTCTTGATGAGTGGTTTGCAGAGTGTAAATTATCGTGCAATAACAACATTTGTCAGCTGCAGTTTCTTTCCGAGGAAATACTGACTTCAGGAGCCACCACTAATTCTGCTCTCAGACAAACACAACTCTTGTCGACTCCGAGGGGAGCCGACAGAGGCTGTGTGAGACACAGGACCTGGCTTTTTTTCATGGGAGAAGGAAGCACAACCTCAAGCCAACAGAGGATTTTAAATCAGTCTTTTCCCAGAGTGCACATACAGCTTTCCAAGTCTCCTAATGACATATCATAAAGTTGCACAGCAACTACCAAGTGTAGTGCCCCACCCAGACCCTTCGGTACAAAGAGTTTTTGTGTAATGTACTTGGGAAATCTTGTGACAGAGAGGAAGCAAACCAGAAAGTTAAATCATCCCATGGGTAAATCCTTCCATTCTGTTTTCAGAAGACAGGATCCATTCCAGAGAAAAGAACCACGAAACTTTAAGCAAAGCTGCAAAATTAAATCCAAGCTCTGTGAGGTTTGCAAAAGGTGGCATTTGATTCCCTTTTTCTCTGTTCTGTGCACTTTGCAAGAGGGGAAATGCTAAAACCCTCTAAGAAACGTTCTTCCTCTAATTCTCTGTGCTGCACTTAAAATCCTGCAAAGCAGCCTGACTATAAGAACAAGCTGCTCTCCCTGGGTCTGCATCTTGCCTGCAGGACCTGCTTTCCCTAGGAGTTTGCACTACAGACATGTTTATGCATCTCTATCACTAAGAAATGCAAATGGAGCCAGTGCTTATCACAGGATTTCACAACAGCAGCATAACTTGCTTCATCAATCATCTAAAGGCAATAGTAGTCTCGGGTGCCTAGAAATCATCTGTAAACTTCCTGTTTCCAAAACCTCGAAATAAATCATACCCTGTATGGAATTCTATGTTATCACTGCCTCCCTGCACAGCACAGCACTAGGCTCCCAGTCCCCGTTCTTGCCCACAGACCGTAATTTAATCAGCTAATGCTGGAAGGGGAGAAGGAAAGCCCAGCCTTCCTGCCAAGCCTGAGAGACAGCCCTGTCTGCTCTTACTGCTGCCATGGTCCCAGCTGAAGGATTCCTTGGGAGAGTTAGTGTTTAATTCAGGGGAGAACTTCAGTGCACAGCACCTTAAAAAAAACTACTTCCACCTAACAAACAAAAAGCAATTCAAGAAAACACTGACCCAACAAGAGGCAGCTGCAGGGACACCAGAGCCTCTCCTGAACAGTTTGCGTCAGCAGAAGGCAGGACAGTCTCACCTTTTAGCCGTCCAGCTGCACTTCTTAGTGAAACAGGCCCATCTCGGATGAGTTTCCGATGCCTCAAGTCCTCTCTTGCAAACATCTGGCCACTCTTCATCCTCATGATGGACTTGCTGTCTGTCCGGTTGTAAATCTCACCAAGACGCATTTTCTTCTCATAATTGCTGACTTTGCTGTTGACTGCAGCAATCACATCTTTAACGAGGTTTAATGACTGAGTCAAGTCTTCATGTTCCACTTCGTTTTCTTTAAAAAAGAAACAGAGAGACCTCGATTTCACTTCATCTTTGTGGAGTCTAACTTCCCAGTTTTACTTCCTTCCTTCCTCTTCTCCCTCTCAAATTCCAGCATTATAACTTTGTAATATTTAAATAAGACAGGATGCATTTTTTCCCCTTAAGGAGAGTTTCACAAAACCTTTCACATATATGTGGTTGAGGTTGGGGACTATTCCAATATACTTTGTATATGAGGGAGTGTGGATGAAATACACAAATTAATCACATATTTTAGCCATTACCACAAAAAAAGCAAGCTGGGAAACTTTGGAGCCTAAGCATGTTGCTCCATAACTAGCTACAGACAGACTTAACTAAATCAAGGTACCTGAACAACTAATCCTAAATGGAGATATGGAACTGAGTTATCTCGTTACAGCTGCACAAGACAACAATGACTGGATTACCTGGTAAGAGAATCTGCTTCAGCTGAAAAGGATCAAAAAAATTTACACTGGATGAACAAATACACAGTTAGAATAATGGAACTGGTCCCTACCTTTGGTGTACTGCAGTATCCTTTGTAAAAGGACAGGGTACTTTGTGATTCTCTGCGTTACCAACAGGATACATTCAGGAATCCCAAGACGCCTCACCAGGGAGCTGCTCATTTTTTTCTAAGGAATAAAGGTGAAAGTTTAATTTCTGTAGCAAAACAGTCACCACAGTGCAGGAAGGAGATGCTTTTTCCATTGACTATGTCTGTCCTACCAGATCCTACCTTGACAAATGCCTGAAACCGCTTGTCCTTGGAGTACAGATCTTTGAAGTAATTGACTGCCTCGTTGTGATGCCCGCAGAATTTGCCGTAGGTTTTCTTCATTCGCTCGGCGCTGTCACCAGAGAACTGCAAGACATGAGACACAGAGCTCCAATCTGCACTGAGCTCCTGGTGTGATATCCCAGCAGTGCCTGCCAGCCTCTCAAAAGAATCTGATGAAACTAAATTAGTCCAAAGCATCCTTAATCAAGCAAGCAGATCTCCAGAAAGTAAAAGAGCTGATTTGGGGAATTTACTGAGTTCACACCTACAGCAGAATTTGGGATTCTACTCACAGGGCTTAACAGACAAAAAGAAGGCAGAAACCATGGATAAAGAAAAGTAAAATGACCCACCCAAAGTTAAACAGCAGGTCAGTAACGTGGCCAAGAGACACACTGAGCATATTTTGCTGTGAGCTCCTGCCTGCACTCTAGGCTATAGTCGGACTGTTTTGTGCCTGTCAGCAAATGCTTCTCTTTCCCACAAAATGAACTAAATTAGTTTTCAACAGTGGACCTTCGTCTGAAAGAGCAAAAAGTGCCTAAAAAAAAGCAGAGGCGGAGATTCTTACATGTGGGAAGAGTAAAGGTGTCATCAGCTGTGATTATCTGACAGGCACAAACAGGAGGGAAGGAAAAGTGCCTGGTTTCCAGCTGTGTTCTCAGAACTGCAAGCATTTTCCAGCACTTACTTGATTCACTAGGATGTCACCTATCCTCTTGATAACAAAGTTCTTTTCACTTTTGTCTGCCAATGACTCCTTCTTCCTTTCCAGAATCCGCTGGAAAAAGTTACTGTGGATTTGCAGCAAGTTTTCCAGGCAAGGAAAGATCTTGTCAATGACTTGTTGGTCATACTGCAGCTCCTTCAACATCGCTGCGCTGTACACATCGTTCATGATCTTCAGGGTGCGGACATGATGCATTTCTGTCTGCATTAGCTCTGTATAGGATGGGGACAAGGTCAAAACCAAGGTCACTGTGGAGTTCATGGGTTATAGCACAAGGAAAAGCTGCCAGGAGAAAGCTCTTCCATAATTGGGCTTCTCTCTGGTTTCAGAAAATTTTATGTCAGCTATTGAAACATCAATCAATAGCTTCATGTATGAGAGAAAAAGTAAGAGAAATAGTTTCACATGTAAAAGCAGGGCAGAGGAATCCCACAATAAAGAGCTTTGGACACTGAAGTCTGAACCTTCAGCCCTGGTATCTGCTCCTTCCTAACTCACTGGCAGCCTCAGCATACTGCCCTTTTGCCACAGAGGCTGGTTCCTGAACCTGTCAGGAGAAGACTTCCTAGCTACCTGCTCTGCTGTAACTGAGTTTAAATGTCATCAGCAGACAAACAAGGAGAGGCAGTTTCTGGGAATTTTTGATGGCTTCTGGATATGGGAATTGCAAAAAAAAGCCTTCGCAGAATACATTACATTTCTAAGAACTGCAAGAATGAAACTATGGCTTCTAAGGAAACCAACTCAATGTTTCCTGACCTAAAGTTCAGTGACCTAAAGTTTCCCAAATCCATGCATGTGGGAACATCAAGAAGCTACCTAAAACAAGTGAAAAATGAAGATGCAGGTATCTCACCATAAATGACATCTTGCCGTTTGACAACATCTTTGTTTTGCTGCTGTAGGAACTTGCTGTCCACTACTTGGCTCCAGGACTCTGCCTCCAGCTGCTTGGAATCTAATTCCAGTTCTCCCATGAGCTGTCCTTCATTCATGTCCGCTCCTTCACAAAGCAATGTAAGTGCCATTAAGATGTGGGTAACTTGTCCTCTTTGAGATTCCTGTCTATTCATTTAGGTTTAGGCATTGTCTGTCACACCACAGACACCACACACATTCTCCTTTCCTGACACAAATGATCATATACCACGTAACGACAAGGTTATGAAAAGCGCTTTTAAAGATTATTTCTTAGTTGCAAAGAACTAGTTGGCCATTTTCACACAGACCAAATTCTAGCTCAGATAATGTATTCTGAAGCTGCAATGCAACAACGTCGCAGATAAAAAACCACAGTAGAAGAGGAAATGTTTTTCCCTGAGCTAAATTCCAAGTAACTCAACTGTAACTGAAACCTTCTAAATGTTTTCCCACAATTCAACAAGCTAAAGTAATTAATATGTGGGGCTTTGTTTATCATGCTGATATTCTAAGATTAAAATAAATGCACATTAATTGTCCATTAGAAAGGACAACATTTGCTGAAAATGGATTTTGTATTTCTGGAAAGCAGCACTGAGACCTTCCTTTTGCCATAAATGCCATGGGGATCTCTCACCTTCATCAACCAGTGACTCCATGGATTCATTCACCCGGCTGATTTTATGTAAGGAGTCTGTTGACTGCGACAGGAATTTCCAAGTGTGTATTAAGTTGTCATCGTTCCCAACTCTGCTGAAAAACAGAACGTACAATATTGTTTATGACATAAAAAACCCAGCCAAATGTACTTTCAAATAACCAGAAGAAATGCATTTTAAATACGAATTGGAAAAAAAAAAGACAGCACTGCACGATTACATACAGAAATGTGCTTTTAGTTGTTTTCTAACTACCCTCTGGGGCTCAAGAAGCTGTAAGAGGTACAGTTCTGAGTGCTGGTTCTTCTTCTATAAAGAATCACACCTGAGGTTTTATGGTTTGGGTAACTCCATTTCCACTACTTTCCATTTTAGTCACATCCCATCCTCACTGCCCTTGGTGCAAGCAGTGCAAAAAATGCAACACCAAAGGCTATACAAGAGTCCTTATCATTAGCTCTGAGAAAGATGAGAAAAATGGACTGAAAAAATTTCACCATGACTAGCCAGGGCATTCAAACTGCCCAGAACATGCCAGTCCATGCTACTGCCTCATGTGTAGAACTGCTCAAAATGCAGGTAGGGTAGGAACCATAAACTAGATTTTCTTCTATGATTTTTTTTTTTTTAATTAATTACTTATAACGCAGTCCAAACCCACCAGGCAGACTGCAGCTCTGTGCCTTCACCCCTTCTGTCATGGACACAAAACTTAATACAATACTTGAGCTGCAAATGTGTGCTTGCACAGTATCTGTCCTAAGGCAAGGGAATTTCCTCCTGGAGCCCAGAGCATCTCTATGAAGTGGCCTTGAATCTAACCAGGCCAACTCAGACTCCTCTGAACTCATGCTATGACTAAACTAACCCAGGCAATCTGATCGTGCAGAAGACACCTGAAGGTATCATACAAAACATGGGTATTTCTGGCTTTGTGAACCTCTTCTGTACTTTTAGCACAAATCATAGTCCATGAATCTATTTTCAGTGAGAACTGAACTTCGTTATGTTCGCAGCGTCAGGTAACACACGGGTGCTCAGGTGTCCAGGGAGAAACCTTACCCTGCAATGTTCTGTATCGAGACACTTTTAGAAAGTGCCGTAGGCTGCTGTGATGATCTCCTGTTGTTGAACATTGAGGTGACAGTGCTTTCCTCAGGAGCAAGGATTGCTGAGCGAGGGCGCTCCTTGGGCTGCGAGCCTGGAAGGGAAGGGTCAGAGGGGAGTCAGGCCGTGTAACCGCCTTAACTGCTGCTAACCGTGACGGTGATGATGACTTAAAGGATCCAGGCACTGAAATTCACTTCCTTATTGTTCTAGAATCATCACCAGGGGATCTCAGCAGTTAAAACCAGCCACAGGAAGGAAAGAACATGGATCCCTGTGCAGAACTGACTGCACTGCACTACGCCTAAAATTCCTAGGTGGGATCTGCAAGTCCAGAAACATATACTTGGGAAACTGAATTTAATTTTATGTGATGAATAATCATATGGTTTAATCTACTCTGTTGCTTTGTCACTCCCCTGGGCCTATAATTATATGCATCTTGCTGCTTCTGGTCAGACTTTTTGAGAAGGTTTCTCTATCAGTATGTGCCACAGAGAAATGATAATCCTTATTTCATTATACTATCATTATAGTTATACTATCATTATAGATTACCTTTAACTAATCTTCCCATAATAATTCCAGATTTTTCCTTCTTCAGATGCACTTCTGCTTTCTGGAGTGTTATCTCTGATAAATACCACAGTGATTACAACTGTATTATGCAGTGTGGCTCCATACAGAGATCTCCAAGCTATCACTTAACAAAGCTTATCACTTAAGATTATCAAATTATGGCACTATAAAAACCCATGTGGGCTATTTCATGCCTATTCTTTACCCCTGGTCACACTGCTCTGCAGTGCAGTGTGTATCACAACAAAGTCAGGAAAAGTTTGTCAGCATTCCTCCTATTCAAAATAAAACTTTTTATTTTGACTACCTCAAAGCCTAAGACTATTTAATTAAAACAAAAATAAATGTATTTTGAATAAACATCCTCTCCACTTAATACTCATAGTTGGATTATTCCCAGTGTCAGACCCTCATGGACACAGGCTGCATCTTCCAGATTTTGTGGACTTACCAGCTGTAGGCATTCAGCAAGCTACACCAGTCAAGTGGTTATTTTAAATCTGAGATAGCTTTAAGTCTGCTGAAAGCTACATAGCCACTGCAGAAGCAGATGAACTCTGTACAACTTCAGTACAACTTCTGAAATCTCAAATATTGCTTACCACACGCAGAGGATGTTCTCATCCCTGCTCTGATAAACACTTATCTTTCATAATATAAAGTTAGCAGTTGTCAGAACAGTTAAGAACATCACCAAAGGAGAAGGAAAGGAAGTTTTCTTACTTTTGTTTCTCATGGTTACTGTGGGTAACGAAGAGGTATCATGTGCCTGCAGCATCCCTCTCTGTGGCTGAAAGAAAAATGAATTTCACTGTAGTTTCTTCCCCCTTTTTCCCAGCAATTTTTTCCATATAACTAAATTAAAAAAGTTATGTTTTTCTGAATCCTCTCAGAACAGATCAGTTTTTGGCTGTATGTGTATTTTTAAACATATACATATATATATGTATGTATATATTTATTTATTTCCCCCACCACCATTGAAATGGGAAAAATAACAGATGGAGAAATAGGAAAATGAAAAAGTGCTGATAATACTGAAGAGAACTGAAAATCATACTTGTATAAACATTATTTATCTTGGAGAACCAGGTTCCTTGCATTTGAGGTAAGCACAAACTTTGTGTGTTCCTTATATAAACGACATATTTAATAGTTTTCACATAGGGCACAGTGCCTGAAGTTCTTTCCAACAAGCTGGAAACTTTGTGACATATAATAGAAGATGTTATATATCTGCATAAACTTTTTTTGTTTATTCAGTAGAGTACATGAACTCTCTTACCTTCATTTTGACCTTTGCACAAGAAGCAAAACTCTCCTTACAGCCTTTGTGAACAATTGCATTGCAGTCTGTCAAAAGTAAAAAACCCAACCAATTAAACAAAACCACACAGAAAACAGGTCAGTTTTCACCATTTGTAATCTGAACTGTTAATTTACACAACTGAGAATTAGAACTTTCAAGTATCATTGTGGTTTACACGAGTAGCTACAAATACTGAGAGACAGGCTCCTCTCCAGGATAATTAGCCTTTTGTTTGTTAATAAGATTTCCTCAAGGAATTTAACAGGAAATTCTGTTTAAAAATCAATGCAAGGTTGAGCTGCCAGGGGTCTTAACCAGTGGGTCTTAAATTAAAGAAAAAAAAAAGGAAAGAAAAATGATGGCATTATTCCTCTGAAAGTAAGGTGGAAAGCTGAAGCAGGAGATGGAAACAGAAACCAATTGTAGGGTCAATATTTTCTCTGAGAACAGAAATACTGTTCTCATCAAAACACAGACTGCGAGATCCAAAAGACAGGAAAATTCATTTACACAAACTCAGACATCACAGGCAAGATCTACAGCACAGAAACCCACAGGGTTTTACTGAAGAGTTACCAGAAGAAGTAACAGGACCATGTGTCAGGTGACCATGTCCAGGAGGTTGGGACTTCCTGCTGAAAACTGCACTGAAGACACCGTTTTGGTTGGAAACCACAGCACCCACCAGTCCAAAGACCATCATGCTTTAAACCCCAGCCTTTGCTGCTTACACGCCAGAGCAAAAGCTATGTGGTTTTTTGGAGTCTGCCCATGTTCTCTGCCAGCAGATTTCTGGGAAAGGACGATTAAAACTACTTTTTTTTTTTTCCATAATAATTGATAATAGGGTTTGAGGCTGTAACTCTTTCAGCAGATAAAAGATCACAACTCAAATGCTCTCAGATGAGATTCAGTAGCTTAGAGAAAATTATTTCCACTCATTCATGAAAACACTAACACAAGATAATGAATTGTACTTTAGATGTAAGTTACACTGTAAGCGTAAAGTTCAGAATTATTTCTTGAAAAAATAAGAAAGGAAAAAATTCCATGTCCAGGATGACAATATGTGCTAACATTCCTAGTATTTTTTACATTTAGGCCTACTTAACAAAAGCCAGTAATTCTGATATTTTGACAGAGATAAGGCTATAGGGTGTTCCTATTCTGTCATCTCACAGTTTCCTGTGCAAGAAAGACAGAACAAAGAAACCTGCGTGTTCTTGCAGAAACCCACAAGCATTATCATTTTTTCAGATCGAACAAGGAAGTGGGGCAGAACCTGCTTCTGGTGCACAAAGACAGGCAGCAAGACAATTCAGAATCATTAAATTCACACTTCAGGCCTTGAAAGCCTGAAGGCAGCTCTTTAGTGTGTATCATTTGGTAATACAACATCTGGATTTTTTAGATTGAAAAATCTGGTTTCAGGGACTTTATCTCACCTATTCAACTCTTCAGCAGGCAGGAAGTTCCTCCAACTCCTCTATATCACTAGTATTAATAATTAAAACCCCCAAAAGCTTATTTTCTACATTACTGATAGTAAAAAAAAAATAAAAAAAGACCAGGCAGGAAGCTATTAAAAGTTAGGCTTTTTTGCTTGCCCATTTGTTTCACAGTATTCTCAATCTTTTAGCACTGACTAGCTGTTTCAGGAAGCTGGGGGGGCATCACTGAAAAGCTGAGACATTGTTTTAAAATAATCCAATGCTTTAAAAGGCATTAAGAAAGAGCAGTGATGCTCACTAGTTTGCAACAGCACAGGAATAACAGAGCCTCTGCTGCTGGTTATCCACAATTTCCAAAGCATCTGATAGTTGATTTTAAGATGCAATAGGAGGAAGGAGCACTCTCAGATGTGAGATTTCAACCTGGGCCCTCATCAAACCTTCCTCATGGCATTCGTTTCTTGTCCAGTGCAGAACAGTTGCAATAATTTTCCATCATATCTTGGAAATAAGGAAAGAACACCTATGCTAAAACATATGACACTGTTGGGTTATTTTAACTCATTAGAATATAGAGAAAATTAAATTGGGATATATTTGACTTTCTAAGTGGCTTCAGAAGCCAAAGAAAGTTGAGTGGGGAAAGGGAGAGAATGCATTTGAGAGCTTATAACTGTTGATGTTTTCCATTTCCCATCAGGCTGACACAGAGTGTGTTTCATGCAAACAACTTTGCTGAAATCTCTTCCAGGAAACTCGGAACTGCCATTCGGGATTCAGCTGGCTGCCCCTTCCCCTGCTCACATCTACCAGGAGGAACAGAGGACTCCAGCCTGGGAGCAGTTCCCATAAATGCTTTGACTTATCTCTAGGCTAGTGGAGTAAAAAATTACTAATAGTGAGGAAAGAAGAGCCCTGAGCTGCAGTGGGAAAAAGACATTTTTGTCTTCATATTCTACAGCTTTGGGCAGCACTGTGGGCTCGACCACACAAACTCTGCTGACCTTATCAAGCTACAGGCATGAGAAACTGTGTGATAAGAAAAGAGAACAAAATCACTAATCTGGCAGAAACCATCAGATGTATTTCCTGTCCTGTCTGGACTGTAGTGCACGTACCTCACACACACACAGGTAGTTGCCATTTGACCTGTGATGCAATTTCTTGTTAAAAGGGAGAAGAGGGTGAGTATTTCCTTTTTGTACCATGTGGTTCTGACTAAGGGCTCACCGAAGCAGTTCAGAGAACTAAAGCAATACACTACAGATGGGTGGGACTTTTTCTTCCCTTTGGAAGTAAAAGCCATGATCCAAGCCAGCTGTCCCTGTCCTTTGTCCATCTTATCAAAGCAGCTCAGGCCCAAGCCATAACATGCAGCCGAAATAAACAAGTTCTCCAGCTGACTGACACAGCCCAACAAGGGGTAGAAAACCCCGTGGGATGCTGTGATGGCTGACCTCAAGCTTGGAATGAGGTTGTAGGACACCTCCATGCAGCCACGACTCATTTCAGTCCAGTTTCCACAAGGCAACATGCTGCTGCTCCATGAATCACTATCTCCAAAGTCTCCCTCCCACCCTACATCCTTAAGGAAAATGAAAAGAAGGCGTAAGGTTTGCATTTTCCATGTGAGATTCAATGAAAAACAAAAGGAAGGGAGGGAACCTCCCCTGACTTACTTGCACAGTAGTATGAATCCTTATTGAAAGGCTTCATACAGTGGTAACAGGTTGCTTGGGCTACAACAGAGGTTGGAGTGAAGACATGTCCATTTGACTGCTTCTTATCTTTTTCCTTCTCCTTGGAATCTTTGTCCTTCTCTTTAGTCTTCTCTTTATCTTTCTCCTTTTCCTGCAGAGAGAAAATGACCAAAAGCCTCGTTACTCTGCAAAGGTCTATTCTCTAGTTACAAATTCCTCAGTGTTTGCCTTTGGCACTGCGACGATATCGACCAGTGCACACCTCAACAATGGTCATGTGTCTGCCCAGCTCTCCCTTACAAAAACCACCTTACAGCCCCCATGGATGTGGATTTACATACTACTGACTCACAGATGTCTCACCAGCAGATATGAAACTCAGTCTGTTCTGAAGGAAGCTATTTTCTTTCACCTCTGTTTTATATTTGTTGGTTTAATGACTTTACCTCTTTTCTTCTTCTGAGCTCTCATCAGCCTCTTCAGTGCTTTCAATGAATTATGTTCAATACAAACACTACATGCAGTGTGTGTCAAATTTTCAACACAGTTAATTTTTAAGGCCAACCTGTAAAGCTTGATATTTGCAACTGCATTTTTAATGGAGAACACAAGCTCTTCCTCAGTGCCTGTACAGCCCCACTGCCAGAATATTTCCACCTCTGTTTCCCTTCCAACTAGCAACTTCTTCAATAGTTACATGCAACCCCAGGTAATCATGTGAAGCTTTTTGGGAAAATGGATCTTTTACATTCTTGACATATGGCACCACAGAAAGGCAGAGGAACAACAGCAACGCCATAAAAGATACTCTCATCTTCACAAAGCACAAGCCACAGTTCAGCCTCTGGGCTACTCAGCTTTGGAAAGATGACAAGCACAGCCACCTTATCCAACTTTTAGCAGAGTTTCTGCTTACTTTTCTATCGCTACCTTAGATAGAAAATACTAAATACTAAAAATTTGAGACATTTTCCCCTGCAGCCTTTAATGGATTTGGAATTCTTCCAAACACTTTTTAAAGGAAACTCCACAGAAAAACTCCAAATTTGAATTACAGCGACTCCCTGTCTTTCTGTGTACCAACCTATAACACGTTTACCATAAGATTCAGCTGCAGTTCTGTTAACTGTTACTGTGGATTTCCTGGCATCTGAAAGAGAAGCTTAACCAGAAATTGGTAAAGGCTTCTGTGAGCTTATCTTTGCATTTTGTTATTTATATGCTATGTGTCGTCTGCCTAATATTGTCACAGCCTGAATATCAGAGAGCTGCAGAGCAGCCCATGTGAGCAACTGCCATGAAGTGGTTAAAAGAGGTATCGAGCTCTGCAGTCACCCGCAGGGAAACTGTTGAGCTTTTGATGACACACTCAAATAATGAGTAACTCAGCCTAAGGACTCTCTTCTCCCAACACTTCCCAGGCAAAATGCCCAGTGTCGGAGTCTCTCCCTGTAAAGTGTCATAAACAAAAAGTCTATTTACTGGCCCCAAATGCTATTTTGTTCTGCAAATAAGCAAAACTAGGAGCATTACCATATGGAACAATCCTGTCTGAAGCAGAAAACCTGCCAGGAAGAGTCTGTGTTGCATCTGTGTTGCATCATATCTCCGCCTCCTTTGAGCCATCAGCTTGGCTCACCACCCCACAGAAACCTCCACAGTCCCATCCTCCATCCACTGACCTGCCCACCTTTAACCATGTCCAGCCTGGCAGGATTCAAGAAATTAAACTGCAGTTTAGGCCTTGGCTGATGGTATTAAGCCGATGCCTGGAGTTTTGCTCTATTGCCAAGTCTTGTGAAGCTCCAGGAGAAAAGATCACTCTAAGCTCAGGGCAAATCTTGTGACTCTCATGATGAAAGGAGATTTCCCATCCTGTACTTTAAACCTACCTGATGTCTACTGCAAAGCCCAGTAATTCTGAAGTCTGGAATAATACCCTGCCTTCATGAAAATTACTGTAAAAAACATTTTAATTAAAGCTGAACGACCCCAGAAAAAACAGGAAATGGGTGCACCACTTTCAAGGAGGAAACAGCACACTATGCACAGGCTGCCAGCCACTCCACTGAAGGACAAGGTCTCAAAATGAGATTTTTTTTTTTCAGCTTTTTTCCTATGACAGTTACTGGAACTTTATTTTTAAAAAGGATTGTAAAAAAACAAGACCATTTTCCTGAGCTATTGGAGCTGCCAGCAAGATTCGAAGCCCGGCTCTGCGGCTGAACGGACGTGCAGGAACAGACACAACAGGTACCCGCAGACCCAAAGGAACAGATCTGCACCAGCCGATCCCTCCCCCAAAGAACCACGAAGCTCTTACCTCCCAGTGCTTAAGTCCTACCAGCTTCACTGTTATCTGAGGTACTTCTGCAAACCTATTCCATTTTATCGACATCCTTCCCCCGGGGGGCAGGAGCACTGCTCCCCACCAGCACTAGCCCATCCTGACAGGCGGGAGCTGCCGGCAAGGCCAGCTGGGGGGATGGCAGGCACAGAGCAGTTGAGCAAAAGGGGGAGGGCGGGACGATTGCTGCTAACTTCCTTGAAGATGATTTTAGCTACTTTGCTGTTGCTTTCATCTTGCCCTACCCTAGCTGCCACTGCTAAAGAGAAGGAAAAAAAAAAATACACAGTGCAGAAAAGGATGTGATTAATCTTTTAGAAGTCACAAGTCACCACGAGACCACCCATTTAAAAGGTAGAGGGCAGTAAATCAAACACTCTGTGATGTTTGGGATAGAAATAAAGCGAATTTTAACATACCTCAGTGTCGCTATGCAGTACTTCAGCAAACAAAGTGCTGCAGAAGATGCCCAAACAGAAAGGTTTGGTGTGTTTGCGCTCCTCCTGCTCTACACATCAGGAATACTCCCTGTCTCCTAGTCCTTTCAGACACTTACAACTCCTACTATATACACTGAAACGCTGTTGGTGGTATAGCACTGCCTTATTACTGCGCAAGGCAAGGAAAAAGAGAAATTACTCATGCTAATTGTCGTCATTTCTTAGAAACCCTCTACCAGAAGGGAAAAAAAAATGAAGTTTTTCTTTTTTTCCTGAATTGACAGAAATAGAGCATGTTTTAGACTTCACAAATGTGAATCAGGGCACGTTGCTAATGGCAAGAGATTCACTGCTAATCCCCGAATAACACCAAATACATGCCAGACTTCTATCAGTATCCCCTACAGTTAATGCTCCAAACACCTCTTTATTTTTAAGGGGGTTTTTACATAACTGTTTACATGATTTTCCAAAAGAGCTGTAGCCATCAGTAGGCTCAGGGGTGCTTTATTTTACAGTTCATCTTAGAATGAACTGTAAAACAGTGCAGGTTTGGAGATAAGTAAAACCCAGCTGGAAAGAAGCTGAAGCGAAGCGTCCCTCCCTCCTGACAGCCCCGACAGCAGCAGAAACCAACTTCCTGTCAAACTTCCTCTTTAAAGGTTTGTTGTTTTTCTTTTTAATGCTTACCAGTTTTCCTCAGCCATAATGCTGCTGAGAAATCAGTGTTCCCAAGGATTTTTTGGTAAAAAAAAAAATCATTAGGATTTTTAGGCTGGAGCCTAAAAATGTAAGGTGTTTTGTTAGGCTGGAGCCCCCAAAAAGCATGTCATGCAAACATTCCACCGTAAGCAGAGACGAAACTGTAATTTGAATGATATCCTGGCTTTTTAATTAGTAAAAATATCAGAATCGATTATCAGCTGCAATTTCTGTAGTGTGTCTTATTGTGGGGATTTTGGAGCAATTCTTTATCAACACTTTCAGACGCAATCATGACATTGGTGAAATCAGCCTACACTTAACAAAAGGAGAGCAAATTTCTCAAAGCAATTCTGTTGTATTTTCTTACGTGTTTCAACCAGATCTCTTATCTTTCTCTCTAGTTCTTGCTTTAGAGATTATGCATCCAAAGTGCAAGAACCAGTTAATGAATTTTCAGTCTCGTTCACAGTCTGTGCAAAATGCTCCTGAACTTCTCACTGGCGTTTGCAACAGAGGTTTCTATGTAAGAAGATTTGGGGTTTGGCATTGTACTCTGCAGCAGGGAACAGCATTGTCTTAAAGCTGCTCAGCAGGAGCTCTGAGCCACTGCACTCGTGGCTTTGCATCTTTAAAGGCAGATCCCTAAAGAGGAACTGTGTGTAATTACACCTTTCCAGGGCCTTCCAACAGTATTTACCAACATATTAGCTACACATCACCTAATGATACAATACACACTGCCCACGGAGAGGTAAGGTGCTCTGAGCTTCAGTCAGACAAATAAAGAGAGGTGAGATTCAAGTAAAAAACATCCAACCAAGCCAAAAAAAAACCCCAAACATATATTAAACGTAAGGGGACAATCTAAGGCAACAACTGCATGTTTGTGTGAAGTATCTAGCACTAATGTAATTATTTCTGTAACCAATATGGTTCCCAGGAAATTCAGCTGTGCTGAGCAGCACTTATCTTTCAGCAAATTAAATCCCAGGGTTTCAAGGATGGAAGAAAGGTGAAAATATAAATATTTGCCATCACCAAAGGTCACTGCTTGAGCAATGTCTCTTGCAGTGCACAGAAACTTTGTGGCAAAAGTAAAAATAAAATGAAAACCTACTACAGCCTTTGGCAGCCAGTCCTTTCTTACAGCTCCTGTCCTCATTTTATTAAAAACCTCTTGGGTTCTGTAAAAATTAAACTCATCAATCACTTCAAAGCCATAACTCATGACAGAACACAATCTATTCTCTATAATAAATGAAGTTTCATTTTGTGGAAAAAAGAGTGAAAACAAAGAATCAAAGAATCGTTGAGTCTTCAAGGTTGGAAGAGACCTTCAAGATCATCCAGTCCGACCATCAACCCAGTACTACCACTGTAATTCCCCTAAACTACATCACTCAGTGCCAAATCCACCACCAACCTGGGCAATCTATCCCAACGCCTGACCACTCTAACAATGAAATTTTTTTTCTA